CGTTCCAATGTTGCCAGACGTCCCCATTAGAGAAAGGCACCTTTCAAGATAATGTTGCTTAATTATTTACTAATCTTTTACTAATCTTCTTACCTATATAAGAAATGGTGACGATTTTAACTATTTTTGCAGAGAAATGAAGAAGGAACCGTGGAAACACATAAGTAATTAGTTGTACCGTATAATGCATTTTTCCTTTTTAATAAGTAAATATTTGATTTCGTATACATCTATTTGTACATTTGTATATTTTATTACCAATTCTATTGTTTCCAATTCTAGTTAGTCTACACACCGCATTTTTATATTTTTGTATGTACATTTATGTTAGATATAGGCTTACTATAACTTTTATTGTAATTTGAACTTAGTTGTAATGTTAGTTGTAGAGCCACCATGTGGAAACGCTGTCATTAAACCATTATTAGTATTGTCATTATCATTCTTAGTGAGTTGTGCGTACACGGGTCCCCACTTCCTTGATTTAAGTATGTAAATGGCTTTCTTAGGTTACTCTTAAGATGATACGAAGCAGAAAATGATTATTTTTTCATCTATTCCTTTTTCGCCGTTTTTTGGGAACACTTATGTGTATTTCACACAACAGACTTACTAGGACACCCCAAATGTCCCCATTTAAAATATGTACGTTCAAAGAGTTAGCCATTTCTAAAGAATTTTTCTGTGGAGACGCAAAAATGTCCCACTATCTGAACAGTCCCCACAATGCTGCTGTGTCCATATTCAAGTCCCCGAAAGAGTGCAGGGTAAACGCGTGTATGGGTGGGTGTGTGTGTATGATTCAACTGAAAACAAAAGGAAAAAACACCTAAACACAAAACAGAACTAGAAACTGAACAAAATAAAAGGAACTTGCAATCTGCTGCCAACAGAACCCATGTTTAGAATTAAAATAGAACCCAGACGTTATTGAAATCAGCCAAATTGACGGGCACTGATGAAATCCCTAGTCAAAGGACTCACAGATCATTGACTTTACACCCTGTAATACGCAGACGTCATAGCTGTTCGGTATTTCCTTCATTCTTCGTTACTTTTCCTATTCCGACGGTAAACTGACTCTACGGATCATAGCATCGTCCTATTATAAAGGAGGTGTGCAAGTCAAAAAAAGGGTAACGTCTATTTACGATTTCCTTGCCCCTTGAAGGTAGAAATATGTTCCAGAAACCAGATAATGTCAATCATCCTTTAAACTGTGTATGCCCGGTTTTGCGATTCCACAGACTCACGGTAACCGGCTTCCTTGCAAACATGTCTCCATATCGAGTAGCATCCATTAGTTTCGTTAGTTTGATGGGTTTCTTAACCCTTTATATCCTAATATCAGTAAGCATATTCTCCATACTGTTCTCTACACATTTCCAAAGAGGCTGACAAGGAGAATTTGTTTCACAATCAAGAGCTGCTTTAGTTGGTGATCATCTCTTCTATTCTCATGACTTTCGTGTTTGATTCAGGGCTGATATTGTAAGGAGAAATTAAATGCTAGTCACTCTTAGGGGCTAAAGGGTTACGAGATTGATGGCCTGGTAGCCACTGTAAACAAACCTTCCTTTGTGGCAGCAAACCATTTTATCATTCTATAAAATTTACTCTCTTTGACATGTATCGTTGATTCTTTCCATTTCACCTACGCGTCGATAGAAATATTGGACTCGCAGAAAATCCAAGAGAGTAGTCGGTTTCTGTGCCCTGAGAAAAGACGGGTAGGGCAGTGATTTCAATCAAAGGCGGGGCTATCAGGGGTTTAACACCGCCTGTTAGACTCCTCTCCACCCTCTGTTTACCGTGCGAGGATTCTCTAGTTCTTTGGGTTTCGCCTCATGGTGCAGCCGCCTATTACAACATCGGCAGCCCTCGGCAGCCCTCGGCAGCCAATTGCGGAAAAATGAATAAATGGGGGGAAGTTCCTAACGAAACTGTGATGCTGCGTTGGTGGGGGAGTGTAACAAGAGAATTTGGTTTTATCAATTGAGCTGATAATGTAAATTGGTAATCGTAGAGTTTCTAAAGCTGATATTTCGAGCGCTATCTCCTTCCCAGAGCGTCATTATTAACTCAATTGATAAAACCAAATTATGGGAAAAGTTAGGTTAAGGTCATTGTCTCTTAAGCGTTAACAACGAGAAGCTTTAACTGTGCTCTGTTCTGTTGTAAAGCACATAGGAAGCGGTTGGAGCACGAAAGAAGTGTGGGGAGAAACACGAGACGTAGTCAAGTGTTTCTCCCCCCCTTCTTGAGTGCTTTAGTCGCTTCCTGAGTGCTTTACAACAGAACAGAGCACAGTCAAGGCTTCTCTATTTGTTTTATAATAAAGAATCTTTTATATTCCCCACGCATTATTTTTAATTTCTTTATTTCCAAAGCGAACAAAAGTGTCGTCAGCATGCTCTGTACTATCATAAAGCACGCTACAATAAGCCAATCAGAATCCTTGTTAGAATGGTTCAAATAATCTGATTGGTTGAACAAGACTAAAGCTGTCAAAAATGTCAAACCATCAAAGTTCGCAATTTGCAATAGTTTGCAAACTTAAGAAGTTCGTCAGGTCGCATTTAACACTTTTGCCTGAGGATTTTCGTCTCTGCTCACGTTATGATAACGTAAATTACGGCGCAAAGATAATTTACACTTTCAACCTTTCTTCTAAAAACAAGACCTAAAAACGCCCCTGGACTGCAGAAAACTTCCCCCAAAAACGTATCATAGATGTGATTCTCTAAAACAAAAGAAGAAACAACAGCGCATTACGTCCACTGTTAAGATTTGCTATTTCATACTCGTGAACATCGCGCAGTGTTCATGGCAACCAATAATAGAAGCACTTTCTTAGCGTCCATGCCGGTCCTTTCCTGATAACAGTCGATGTAATGACCAGATCCTTCCATTCTTTAAAGCTACAATCTATTTCGGTCACCATTCACGCAGGCTCTCGCGTGTGATGCGGCATTTCAGGGCACGGAAAGACGGTGCGCCATTATTAACTTCGACGTTATCAACTTTTCACACATCTCCTGTTTATTCTAATTTTTAGTTAATCCTTTTATCTGGTGTAGCGCGTTTATTCATCAAGTAATCGAGAGTACCAGAGAAAAAGTCCTTCTAATATTGAAGTCTGCTCATCAGACATCACATCAGATTGGAAACACTTTGAATATCTCCATCCGCGCGTAAGTTATCACAAATACGACTCAGTGGAAGTGAACAACGAAATTAGTTGGGTGAATTTATTTCTACAGCTGACAGAAAACCACTTCAATCAGAAAAAAATAATCATAAGAATGAATGACAAATTTTGCGGTATTCAAAAATAAGTTTATGGAAAAAAGATTGTTATTGCAAATTTTGTTTTTTGATTGAGCCAATACGCAAGATAATTCACAATTAAAATAATTAAGATCAAAGTTAGAGACCTGCTCCGGGTTTTATAAGGTAAACTGAAAAATTATAAATATGGACTTCCTTATCACTGGAAATAAGAAAACAAATTTATTGTAAACGTACGAAAAAAGCACCAAGCAATTCATCAAATGGGATTTCTCGTGTTTGGTTTTGAGTATTATTATTGACTGACGGAGCAGAATTAAAAAAAAGTATACTACGTTCATAAATTTACTTTTCATAGGAAGTGCACCAGTGCATCAATTATCAACCGTAGTCGAATTTTTCTTGATTGCGTCGTACATTGAACTAACTGAAGACATTCCGTGAACAAGTCTCTTTACAGAGTATTAGTTCAGGATCTTTTCAGGCTACAGTGGGCGCTTAAGAAGCACTAGCCAGCTGTCAGAATTAATGAACACTTCCCCTTCAGATACAAAGTACCTCGTTAAAGCGTGAAGTCTCAATGCGATCAGCACTTTAATGAAAAGTGGCAATGAAAGCTATTCTTTCTTTATCTTGCCGATAACAAGAGAGTCAATATATAAGTTTCTAGAATTATGCAAATTCACACAGATTTTAATTAAGCAATTGTGACAAAAAGTTCAGCTGGAAAACTCTAAGCCTGAATTTCCGCGAAAAAAAAAACATGAAAGTCACGGGGAAGGTGCGAGATGATAGACAAAGGCCGCCTATTAAATTTCACACTGCCGAAAATTTTTCAGAAAAAAGCGTATTTCCAACCTTAAGAACTTACAAAATGATTTGATACTTCTTTTAGGTCTTTATTTGCTTCCAATTACGTGGTTTCGTTTTTTGTTTTATTCCAAATTGCTTACGCACCAAACCGAAACTAGGAAATTAAATCCCACCACTGCGGCAATGAATACGATCAAAGAAAAGATTATGAGAAATTTCGCTTGCTTGTTGGTTGCGTAAAGCAATAGTTTTAATCGCTTTCCTCCTTTGGAATACATCAAAAACTGGTGCAGTGATTTCCTTCCATCGACCTGGCAGGACTTTTCCGCCTGCTCATCGATTCCTTGCAAATAGGAACGTCGGAGGTAGATTACCTTCAAGTGCAACTAATATAAATCGGATTATTCAAACACAGGTGGTAAATCAGACGCTAGTTTCCCACAAATAATTTTCCGGTGTTTATTTTTCAAAAAAACTGTAGTTTTGCTAAGATCTCATAATTAAACTTCAGCTTCTGAAAAAAGCTTATTAATTTTCTCGAAAAGGTTTGTCACTAGTTCTACTTTCTGCTTCTCTGTTCTTGGAAAATAGAGATTCTTCGCAGTTTGTTATAGCCATTCATTAAATTTTCAACGCTACACTATGGATAATTCCTGCTCAAACAGGGAAGAATTGACGACTTAATGCGAATCACATATTCCGTACTACTACGCGTGTAGAATCGCGCCAGAAGTATATCTTGAATTATTTTTGTTTAATTACTTCGCTTTTGTTTTGTTTTGTTTTTTTTTCTTTTTCCTTTAAACGGCTCAGGCTGAAATAAGACCAGGTAAGAAAACTTCGATGTCATTATGGTTTATTCTTCTTCTTTTTTTTTTTTTTTTTTTTAATCTCTGTTACACTAGCGATTCCATTATTGTACTTTGATCACACCGCTCGTTCTTCTTCCTCTTCTTCTTGAAACACGGAATCATCAAACACAACTCACGACGAAAATCTTGTTTCAGGAACGTATACAACATCGGATTAACTAGTGAAGTAGAGAATCGCAAAAAGTCAAAGACCAGCAGCCATACTGGCGGTATGGCGTAGAACACATCTGTGCCGAGGTAGTCTTGTAGCAGGCTTATGTACCAAGTGGACCAGCAGCACGTAAATATTCCCAACATCAGAGCGAAGATAGATATGGCTCGCTTTTCAGCTACTAAATGTTTGCCTCGGCTGCGAAACTCATGAAAAGTTTCCAGCTTCCTAATTTGTTTTGCTTGATGATGAATCACATTAAACATTCGGATGTAAAAAAACAACATGAGCGCTAAAGGTATCAACAAACAGACAACGATTCCAATCATGTTGTAGATCAGACCCCAACGAAGTTTGGTAGGATTTCGAGACGTGAAGTTGTCTAGTTCTTGCCACGCAAGTTGTATCAGCGCCATGAACAGGGAAAAGAACCACACGGAGGTTATGAGGGTAACTGTTCTTCTTTTGGTCACAATAGTCATGTATCTAAACGGATAGATCACAGAAACGTACCTTTCGCCGGTAATTATAAGGATATGAAATATAGTGGATACAGCAATAAACCTGTAAACAGCTGCTGATGTTATGCACAGTCCTGAGAAATTCTTATAGCCGACCAGTGCATTGCAAGCGGTGTTCATTGGGATCCCAAGAAGACCCATCATTAGATCAGAAACGCTTAAACTTACCAGCAGTAAGTTCGTTTTCGTCCGTAGAGGTCTTCTTCTGACGAACAACACAAGCACTAACAGGTTGATGGCGATGATGAGGACGCTAAGACTGATTAAACAAGAGTCGTAACTGACGTCGAAGTAACTCTCTGGTGGTAAGTCGCCGCCACTTTCCACCGAAGAGGAGTTGTTCGACTCCATCACATCCAACTTACACGCGCGCGTCACGTCCAGGTAATACTTGCTAACAAGCAATCTTTCAGTTCTTTTTAAAGCGAAGCCACCAATGACCTTTCAGCGCTGAGGAGCAGACTCTTAGGTAAACAATCGTTTTTATAATCGAGGTTAATAACGACTAATATTTCGCGGTGAATTTGCTAAAGAGACCCGACAAAAAGTCCTTGATTAACGATAATATTATGAATCGGGTGATTTCCAATTAATACAGTTTCCAATGTTCAGCCACGTTTCCAGATATTGAAAAGTTAATGGTTTAAACGGAAATGTGTCTCAGTTATGTCTTTGATGCTTGATTGATGGCATTTGAGTCTTTAAGTAAAAGTCTGTTACATATATTTTTTGTTATGAAACAATAGTTCTCTTGCAGCTTTTCACACCTCAGTCTCGTAATATTTTATAATCCCATCGCTTTTGAAAAGCCACTTAGGTTTTTTTTTTGTCTTGGACAGACTCTTGATAATATGCTACCGCAAATATCGATAAGTTCTACTTAATCGACATTCGGATCGACGTCTGTAATAAATTTTTAACCGGTTATCCCGGCGATAGGAGTATTTTTGCCTTGTATTCCTTTGTCCGAAGCAGTTTTGCCGATGTTGACACTACCTATTTCAAATTAATACTAACCTAAAAAAACAAATGTTAACGAAAGTTAAAAGCTCAAAGTAAAACTGGCTCCCTGAACGCAGAGCAAAATCTGTAATAAGAAATAACTTAATCAAACGACCGTAAATTGAACGAGTGAAGCGATGCATTTAATTGTCAAAATTACTAAAAATGCAATGTCTTGACTACCGTGGTGATAAGTTTTTTTTTTTCGATCACGATAAGATAACGTTCAAGTGCAAATTACTTTCCGGCTAAACATTGATTACGAGCGTTTATCAGGTTTTCCATAACAACCTGGACTACATGTACCGTCACGGTTATCGCTTGCACTTTCCCCAGACTTCTCTTCGAGCAGGGTGTGCCTTACAGCGCGTGCATTGCAAATGTCAAATTAAGATTGCAAAACAAGTTCAATTTTATGGTCACTTAAAGTCATGTTAAATAAGAACTATTCAGTTACGACTGAAAAATTTATAGTCTTATCTTTGTTCAGTTACTGTTGTTGTTGTTTGTTTGTCTGTTTTTTTTCGTTTTTACTTTTTAACGCTATAGATCAAATGGTAGAATTGTCCATAGCCCTTTCAGTCCAAGTTGTAACGGTACAGAGAGTGCATATTTGAATCTTGAAAGTAAAAGGATTAAATTAAAAGTGTCTAGATCGTGCGCTTTAAAGAGGAGATCTCGTTCGTTTCACCCTGATCCCACGCTAGAATTTAGCGCGAATCAACGCAAGAAAAATGACAATGTGCTCTTGTTCAAAAATTAAGCAGTTTACAAAACGACATACGTTGCTCGTATGACGGTGGCAGAAGCTCGAAAAATAGCAAAAGATGGTTTGTTGCAAGTGTACAGAAAATTAATGAAACATAAGAAACCGCCTAAATTTCAAATTTCTTCGACCGGAGTCCTTGTTAGTCTTTTAGGACGTACAATTTGTTCGGCAGATTCTAATCACTTTCAAAATAAAGGAACTTGTTAGATTCTGTTCAAACAGAGAAAAAAAATTAATTTAAGATTGAGTCACTTTTCAAACACTTGTGACATTTCTGTTCAGTTAAAGAAAAACGATTTATAGTTGCGTCGAAACCAATGGAAAAGTGTTATTTCCATACCCAGATGCTTAGATTCACTACGTGAGTCCTGGCTTAAAAAATTTATCTCATCAAAATACAGGTGTAAGAGGAGTGTATGAAATTTTAATTACATCACAGCACATGAACTACAAATTCTCCCCGCTGACTCAATCAGAATATTTGATTTTTTGTCTTTGCTGGATTCTATCTCTGACTGTCGGTCAATGCAGGCCATGGCAAACATTTTAAATTCTGAGTAGTCGAGCTCCTGAAAGCATAAGTAAGATAGATTAATAAAAAAATACCGCTTAGCTACTTTTTATGTACACACTACAAAGTACACACTACAAAGAGCATCATTATTAACGCTCCATGATAATGAGTGAAATCAAATCTACGAGTCAATAATAAATAGAAAGAGTCGATTGCTTGAGGCGAAAATAACTTAGTCAAAGTGTTAAGAAGATTAGCGCTTTTTAGGTTTTTCTTTCACCTATCTCCCCGACCTCCTTGTACAAAACTGAACTGTTGAAGTGAGTAATTGTTCTTTTCTCGTCCGACATTGAAAACAGAGAATACAGACTCTTTCGTGGAAGCTGGAAGAGTTCCAACACTGCTGTTATTCAATTGTTTAACCTACCCAACTACTTTCCCCTATTTTCAAACCTGGTCTCCAGAAACGTCAAATTCCCTAAATATGGTTTGAATAGCTTCGCCTTGTAGGTTGAACAGAAATCCAAACGTTTCAAACTCATAGGCAGAGATATTTCCGCTGTTATCTTCATCTAAGAGGTCAAACACGGCCCTTGAATGGCGGTAAATGAAGTTTTTCTCCGCTTTATCTTGAACCGCGATGAGAATACAGATGAGTAGGTAAAATTCATCAAAGTCCATTGCACCAGACCCATCTACATCTAACATGTCAAAAACTTTGTAGATTTGATTTGTGCTCAGGTCAGTGGCTGTCTTCATGAAAGCACAGAACTGCACATCATTGAGAACCATTTCATCATGAACATCAATCAGGCGAAACAATTCTAAAACTATGCGAACATTCCTGCCTGGGAAAAATTTTTCGCAACACATAATTAGAAAACGGAAAGACAAAGGCCCACAAAATGATGCTAAGAATTGAATGCACAGGAATAACAAAGTGAATGAAGACAGGAGCAAAGAACTTCGAAGCATCTAAATTCCCCATATTGTCTCAAAGTTAATATATTGCTTTAAGGTTGTCTACTTCTGCTAAAGATTAAAATCAGTTTTATTTTATAATGCAGGAGATTTCATCGTTGTTATTGTAAATTCAAGGATCGGGTAGCGAATGCTTATTAACTCCTGTAGTAGAAAATCACCCAAAATTGCTAATTTAAGATTTCATGTTCTATTTTTAAGTGTTCCTGGTCATTATCGCTGAATTTTAATCTAAACCTTCCTAAGCCTCTCAATTTGATAATTTCCTGCGTGACACTTGATGGCTTCGAGTCCTCTGTGAGACACAAGCTTTTCTTTATGTACTCCCCTCATACCAGATGTCATTGACACCTATAATCGGTTGAGAAAAGTCCTTTGTTACGAGGTGTTGTTTCTCTGAAAATGTTTTGAAATTACTTTATTAGCGGCATTCGTTTGGTTTAATTTTTACTGCGCAAAATGATCGTTCTCCCAAGCCGCAGCGACTCAAGTACGTTGCGTGAATAATGGTAAGATCTCTGCACAGCCAATACTTCATTATGCACACGGTTCTTGGGGAAAGAAAACAATATTTTGCCTTTAGGACTACAGCTTTATTATACAAAGCATCTTTTTCCAGGAACACACCAAGTTTCGTGATACATCTCAACAAGTTCAAGAGAACGCTTTTTGTTACCACAGTTAAAAACAAAACAAAACAAAACAAAACAATGTATTAGAAAAGCCCCCGAACAATACTTACCTGTTAACAGACAGTAAGTTCTATCCAAATGCATGTACTTTAAAATCTGGGATCGTATCTTCATTTCTCATCTGTGACTTAACCTTCACCCATCCATTCATCATTGTTCGTCTTGTGACGTTTTTATTACAGGGAGCGCGTGCATAGCGCGCGGTTACCTTTCCCAACGCATTCAACGATTGCTGTAATCTTATCTCGAAAAAGTAAGATTTCTTACGGCCGGGAAAAATTGCAAAACATTCTCTGTAGTTCGTATTTCAATGAATTAATTTTCAAATAGAGGAAAATGAACGTTTGGATCGCTTTGCTGAGTGGTAAGCGCCCTTTTGCTCGCTCAGATATTTGCGAGTTTGGGAGTTTAACAACGCGTGCCCTTTGTATTAAGTCACACATTTGGGCAATTTGGTTTGAGAAACACTAAACTCTCACGGTGCAACTCTCCTCTCTGGGGGAAAAGGGGTACTGGTAAAGTTGCAAAGCGGTAATCAATATCCCATCTTGGGGGAGAAACAATTCTTGTAGTTGCTTCACGCTACAATCACCTAGATATGCTTTAGTGTGATAAAGCCACTCAAAGGGTCGAATGCATTCTTAAAAAGGATAGCACAAAACAAAAACAATATCGGCTTCCTACATGCTGATAATTCATTGGACGCTTGATGCATCCTTACACACTGTTTTCTTTGTTTCAGATACCAAATTCAATTGAAGCTTTGGTTTCCATTCAGAAAAGTAACTATTGTTTATTTCTGTTCTAATATAGAGCCATAGTTGACATAAAATAAATATCACAGTTTCCCTCATAAAGGTAAAAATTTTGTTTGTAACTAAATGTGGCTAACTGGAGGCAGAGCGTAAGTGACAGGAAAAAATGTCTTCCTCCCGTTCGCGTCAACAGTGGTCCAGACGTCCACAATAAATGACAAATTTCCTCTTTTTAAACCCGTAGAAGAGTGTGATGGTAACCAAAAGTATTAAGAGCACGTTTACCGCATTGTGAGATATGAAATCAGTTTTGACGTCGAAGTGTCACGTGTATCCTGTCAGCTTGCTTGTGGCTAACTTCAGAATGCAATCGACTGTTGGAGTGTAAAAAGTCACCAGTTCACTTGACTCTACAACGCAACCATAATAAGACAGTTATGAAGGGTCAATAACATTCATCAGTCTTAAGTTCGTTCCCTCGTTCGCACGTTCATGCATCCATTTATTAAGCAGGTCTGGCCTTAAATAATATGCTTTCATTAAAGATCCTGCAGTTCGTACTCATTGAATTTGCAATTGCAACCAAAAAAAACAAAACAAAAAAACCACGGACACCAAATGCACCTTGAACGCCAATGTTAATTCAAGTCCATCGCCAACCAGTTTCTATTGACACCTAGCCAGCCTCCACCCACACGAAGTCAACCACAGCCCGAACTGTAGCAGGGAAAACTGCTTTTCCCACAAATTGATGTGCGGCAAAACGTTTGATCACGCAAATCTAAGATTTAGTTGAGACAATCAATCTAAAGTCTCGTCCTTTCTGTACCCCTCCAATTCACTTTAACCCTTTAACTCCCAGATCAAATTTGTCATTCTCCTTACTGTCAACCACACAATTCTTATAATGTTAGTTCAGAGAATTTAGTATTGGATCAGCTAATTATCCCCAAATTGATATTTGTCTTTATTCTCATCGCTTGTCTGCTTGATATTGTATTGATATTGTAAGGAGAAATTCTGTTTTGGTCACTCATGGGAGTTAAAGGGTTAAGATAAATTTTGGCTGAGGAGATTCTCTTTTTCAACAACCTCGATTTTCTTTATGATTAGGAAAAAGAAAGAAAGAACAGAAGATATCACCTGTGAAAAATTTCATAAGATAGAAAAGGGGAAAAGGTTTCCAGAAGTTACCGAAGAACAGAAGAAAACAAGTAAGCCCTCAATTAAAGTGTTGGGGCTCTTGCTCATCTGAAGATTATTAAAGATTTGCATTAAAATAAGTGAAACATATTACACGGAGTGGCTGGTATGTACCAACTATTGCATCATATTCCAAGCTTGAAAGTAAAAAAAATACCACAATATAAAAAAATGTGATGACATAAAATAAACTTACCATTAGCTTTGCTTGTAGAGAAAAGAGAAACTTTGGGTGGTAGCTTTCTGCTGTGTTTTACCACACATTCATCCAACACAAGACTCTGAAAAATGAGTGTAGGTAATAACATGATTTCGGGTGCAATTTGGTGTTAATAAGTACGAGTAAATTTTTCAAAGACAACAACAAAATGGGCGAGTGCAATTTGCAGTCTTTATTCCCAAGCTATTGCTTGTTAATAATGTACATGAAAAAACATCACAGAAAGTCAAAACAGGCGAAATTTTGAAAGTGTGCACGCGCTACTTGTGTTAAAATTTTTGTACTCGTGTTACATGAGAATGCTCTCTTTTCAGCCAATCAGAAGCGCGCGATTTTTTCGTGTACATTGTTACGTTTCTAACGGAAGAGGTTCGCTAAAATCATAAAGTAGGAAACTTGATGAAGAGGCTGCTGACATACCTCAAGTATGTCAGCAGCTTCGCTCTGACGAAGGGCCAACGCTCGAAACGTCAGCCTTTTAACTCTTTACGGTGGCCAATTTACGTTTTCAACTCATTTGTTAACACCAAATTATCTGTTATACTCTCCTACCGACGCAGCACCACAGTTTCTTTAGAAACTTACCCCCTTTATTCATACCTCAAGTATATCTTGCAATGCGACTGGCCGTAAGGCTTCAAAGAAATGCTTAGCAATCTGGCTCTGAAGACAAAACAAAAACAAAAGAACTTATGTCCATAATGTTCGTTTTGTAAATTGTATTCTATATACAAGGCTAAAAGGTAAAAAAAATTAAAATGTTTAAACCAAACGTTTTCGGCTGTTTGCCATCATTAGGGTTAATAAAAAATAAAAACAAAATTTAAAAAAAAAGCCTTGTATATAGAATACAAAAGAACTTATCATAAACCGCTTTTCAATTTGAATGGACAGATTTGCAACTACCTCGACAACGAGATCACCTCGCCGACTTTGTTGTGACTACGATTACTCCAATGGAAATTGAAAAGAAAATGAAGAGTCGATTTGAACCAAGAAATTAGTATAGTGCTTGTAAACTAAACACAGGAATAATGGGAAAAATGACGAGACCAAACATTGTAATAATCAACTTGAAATGCTGGTCTATCTTGGGAAGCCTGAGTATTTTTTACCAACATCAACACGTGTTATCAACACGTCAGAGCAATTTTCAATTAAGTGTCGAAAGTTACTCAGGATTGGTTTGGTTTCACTTGTCTTCGCACTGTTATTGGTCCAGAAGATTCGCGCCATCCCCTCAACCAATCAGATGCAAAACTAAAAACAATCGCGACTTGGTCAGGCGCATTTTCCCGCGCTTCAAGCAGTTTGCTTGTTTTCATTTTTGAGTTCTCACTGGCTAGTGGTAAAAGGAAGCTTTTGTCCTATTTATCAGCTGGGATACTTCTGGTTTTTGGTTTTTCGACACGCACTTGATAACTGGCCTAAAACTCGTAAGATTTGTTACTTGTTATCACTTCTAATTCCCAACTCAAGATATTTAATTGCTACGTCTCATGCTCATTGTTCCGAGGTCCTTACCTGTGATATCCCTGGATTCCCAAGAATCAACATAAGAACCATCTCTCGAAACATGCGCAATAGCCGTTGACTTGTGTCACCATCAATTGTGATCCATGGGCGGCACACCACGGAATATTGATCATAATTACTGGTAAAAAATGGTAAAAAATCTATAAGAGTTTCACTCAAAATAACCCTTATGCATTTTACTTCATTGACAGAATGTTTACCCTTAGCCTAATGTTTACTCTGCAAGTACCAAAAAAAGATAAGGGCTTGGACAGGTTTGGGCCCTTCTAACACTTGTGCACACAATAACGAAAAACTGCAAGACAAATCATCTGTATTTTAACAAAGAAAACTTACTTGATTCTGTATTTCTTTCCTTTTTCCGGTTTTTTCCCTTCTTCTGCTGTCTCGTTTGTCCCTCCTTTGCAAAGCCCAGTATTTTCAAGGTGATCAGCGTTATCAATTGAAGCAGTGCCATCATTAGTTTCTGGGTGACCGGCAGGATTTGATTTTTCAGTTTCAGAATTATTCTGGTTAGTTTTCGTTTCTTCACGTGCATCTTGGTCTTCCTCGGTAGGTTCTTGTTGCTTTAACGAGACACAGGCCTCTGACAAAGAGTTCCCAGCAGTTGTAACGTCTTCAGTATGTTTGGGTACCTCTCTTTGCAATTGCTCAGAAACCTTGGGCTTAAAGCAAAAGGTGCAAAAAGCTGCTTAAATATTGAGCAATTTTGAATGGAGTGTGGAAAGTAATTCTGGATTGCTTTGGATTTCCTCTTCCTGCTCTAAAAATCGGTCCAGAGAAGTCGCGCCACTTTTTTAACCAATCACAGTCAAAACTAAAACCGACCGCGACTTGATCAGAGCGTTTTCCTGTGCTTCAGATACATTGCTTGTCTATATTTTGAATTCTCATTGGCTCGTTGTGATATCTTCCTTTGCTCTAATTGGCTGATGTGATTACTCTACTTCTGGTTTTACGAAATGCGTTCTCAAGGCAAACAGTTAAATAAGGAAAACATTGTCAGCATAGCAACATTTTAAAGGAACGATTCTGAGCTAAAAAGACGCGAAAAAATACCTTGAGGACAGTCACACACCAGGGTTTTACAAAGCTTGCAGTGACAAGACATTCCTCAAACAAACCAACTCTGTAAAGCTAAAATTTAAAAAAAAAATCATACTTCACGAGATGATAACGACATGGGTGATAGCGACGCCTTTAAATATTTCTGAAATGAAAGTTTAGGGGAATAACCACTGAAGTGAGACGAAGCTGTACCTGTGCTTCTTTCACTGTGTTGTTTTTATTTTTTGCTTGTGTTTAATTTTGTTTGTTTGTTTATAAAAAAAAAAAACAATTTATTTGTACGTACTGCGATTCAAACTTGTCCCTCGGTTTAAACATATTCAAACTCATTGAATTTGACTTTCTCTTGTACTAGAATCTTAGATAATCATCATGATTTGAGATAATAATCTGGCTCAAACATAAACAAATAAAGCGGAGAAAGAACACTTTCTATGTAGTCTCCCTAGTTTGACCATAGAACACATTTATGTGACGTTTTTTTAAGTGAATTTATATTACTACTGCCCTTAATATACTTACCAGTTTTGCTTTGCACATGTACGTCACATGTTTTGCAAGAGAATACTGTGATGAAGTTAGTTCATGTTTGTGTTTCTCCTGGATTTTCGTCTAGAGGAAAAGAATTTTAGAAAATCAGGTATAGAGAAAACACAATTTTAGACTGTTATTAATTGACCAGCTCTGAGATGCGAGATTTATGTGCAATATTTCGGCATTCATAGATACGATTGCTTTCAGGTTTAGAACTATTTTTACTTGAGCGTCGAAAGAAATGTGATATTGCATTGGTTTCGCATTACTTGCCAATAGGGGTGGATTGCGTCTTGCTACCACTAGAGTAACCCAAAGAGTTAACAGTTAAAGAAAGATTGAAAATTCTGAGGTCGTTCATCAACAAAAGGAAGATGTGATTCTTTACGTCACAAGGTAGGACATAGAAAAAAAAAATCTGATTCCCCAAAAGGAATATTAATTACTACTGCTCTGCCAATAAACTACAGGAAACTCTATGGAAGCTAAGTCCTAGAGTAGGCTCGCACAACAGCCATGTTGAAACTTTGTGCGTGTTAGTAGAATTAATTTTCATCCCTTTACTGTGACAAAAAGAATAACATCTTCCTTTAAGGTGGCTCCATAGGATTTTTTGACCGCGCGAGATCTGGGTGCGAACATGGCACGAGCTTTTAAAATGTCAACATGCAAAACAGACCTAGCAAATACCAAATAGTGAGGAAACTGCCTTTGTAACTCCTATTTCTTTCGGCTTTTAAATGATCGGCAGGGCAAATTTCACAAATTGTGAAAATTTTGAGAGATTTCACGAAGTAAACGGAAGTAAATCAAAGGCAAAGCCAAATTATCGCTGGCGAGCGCCTCCCTTCGTGGAGCCTAAACTTAATAACGAAAATCATATTGATAATATTTACTACAGAAAATGATAGTCCGAACCTTGCTCGTGGCCTTTTGATGGCTTTTGGTGACCTTGAAAAGCGAAAACATAAAATTTTCGCGCGCGCGCCAACATTAAGCAAAAACCCTATGGAGTTTTCTAAAACAAACTTCCTTTACAAAGTGAATCATTCTCAAATACTATTGCACTCAACGTTAGAAATATTATAATTTTAGAATGTTTGCAATACCCACTTCCTTTCTTGCAGTTTTAACTAAAGACGAAAGAGAAACATTACGCCACCCACTAAGGTCATAGTAACCAAGTCTGTAATGCACTGGAAATACTCACGGACAACAGCAACCATTACAAATTTTCATTGAAATTATTTCCACTTTCGAATAGGATCTGAGAGCTTTTAACCTTAATTTTGTCATTTGCCATTTGCCATTATTTGAACATTTGAAAATCGGAGGGTTCAAGCGTTTCGTAAACGTGTAGGACCGTTACAGCAAAATAAAAAGTGGCAAGCTCTTCTTGTGACCGATTGAGGAGGACTTTGTATTAATTGATTAACTAGAGAACAATGATACTGTAAATGGTAAAACAGACCTGTAACTCTTTCACAGTCACACCAAACTCTCCTTTCTCTTCAACAACCTCGTAAATGATTCTTGCCATTAGTAAATCAATTTCAGTGAAGCCCAGTTCTTCCTTACTGAGCTTAACATAATCGTCTATTGAAAATTCCACGGAAACAATCACGGGATAAGTTCTATAGCCTGAAATCCCTTCGTCAGAAGAGGTCGCGGAGGTACTGGGTCTATTTTCAGCAGCGCTATCAACTGCTACGTGTGCCGAAGAGTCTTCTTTCAATTTCAACACATTTTTGCATGGATTCAAAGTCATGAAGTCGTGAGTGTTAACAGCCCTAGCTGAGAGCTGATTCATGGATGCATATGGGTCCTTCCCACCCCGAGCCAACATCAGTGCAGTTCTTGATGAGCGGGATGTGCCGCTGAAGGACAGAGATGCCACCGGTACAGTGGATACTTTACTACTCTGTCTTTCGGTACATTGCCCCTCACATTCCTCAGTGTAACTTGTCAAATAGTTGCTTGAGTCCGTCACAGCTGTCAGATCATATGGAGTTGTGAAACTTGTTGCAGTTGATGATGATGATATCCTCAAGGTAAAAAATTCTCGTTTTTTTGGCCGTTTTCCTTTTGAACTTTTCTCTGAGGATTTTGCTTTGGAAGAGGACGCTGACTGCTTTACAGCTGGGGCTGACTCGACCGTATCACTGCTCTTACTTGGCATGGCACCCTGGGCTGTTGACGGCTGATTCTTCTCTGTTATTCCAGCACTGCCAGGAGTTCTTGTCTTCGCTGAAGTTCTTGTCTTACCTTTCTCTGATGAGGCGTCGTCCTTTAAGAGACAGAACAAAAATAAATTCCTCCCTAAACTGCAACCAACTTTTTTCACCGAGTTGGGAGTGGCCAATGTGTAGTTAGTGCAAAACTGACCAATCCCTTGGTCTGGAAGCTGTGGAATTTAAAAGATCTTTCCAAGGCCTTATTAACCCTTTACCCCCTAACATCAGTATACATATTCTCCATTGTATTCCCTATACATTTCCCAAGGTGCTGAAAAAGAGAATTTGTTTAATAATCAAGAGCTGCTTTCGTTGGTGATCATTTCCTCTATTCTCGTGACTTTCCTGTTTGATTCAAGGGTGATATTGTAAAGAGAAATTAGATGCTAATCACTCTTGAGGGTTAGAGATTTAAAGCGTTAAAAGAAGTTTCAGCCATACGTAAAAAATCATGTACCTTAGACACTGGTTCACCACTTCCATCAGTGGCTTGACTTGACTGTAGCTCGACGTTCTCTGATAGCCCTGACGACTCACAGTTCAACACCTCTTCAGGAATGCTCACATCAACAGATAACTGTAAACATGAGCAGAGAAAAGAAAACTTCAAAACAAGCAGAAAAAAATATACCAATTAAAGTGTACTCAGAGCGGTTAAAAGCAGAGAAGCTGTAGAAGGCCTATCTTAACACATAGGAGGCTCTCTCTCAGTGGTTTCATTAAATATGGTACAAACGGCCTGGAGTGCCTGGGCTCCCCTATAAAATTTTAAAGCTCTAGATTATTGTAGTTACTCTTTACAACATTTTAGGGTGCATTCCTCTCCACGTTCCATTGTTTTTCTTCAAAGTCAACCAATTTAAGTGAACTTACAGAGATTTACATTTATGTTCGTAGTACAATGACATTTGTGTAAAGGCTACAAACAGGTTGCTAGCGCATAACAAACGGGTACAGATCTACCCGCTTCCCGGCTGCTAATTAAACCCCTAAGGGAGTCCCTACACTACATAAGTATCACCTAACAACTCTAACATGGAGAATGCGACCGGAGTCTCGAATGACACAGACTCCGATCTTCTCAGAGATTCAGATTTATATCACTTATATTAAGACGACTGTCATATCTGAATGACGGTCTCAAGATTAGGGAATATTTCTTGGGGAATATCACATGAATACTTGTCAGTTTTAGCTTGATTACATTCGGATATGAGACGGATTTACACCAATCACGTGCGATCTAAACACTTAATAGTTAAATATTTTTCTAAAAATAATCCATTCAAACCTTGTCGGTGGTGAGTAGAGACAGGATGCAAGCGACATGTCCACCGAGTGCGCGTGATTGCTTGAATTCTATTAAACCAGGGGTAAGAGAAGCTGCTTTTTGCTCCAGCCTGTCGTCACTGTCTTCTTCTTTATTTAATTTGTGCTGTTCTCCTTTCACAAGCTGTTTCCAAAAGTGAGCGCAGTCTCTGTAGAATGTCACAAGTTTAAAGCCATGCATGAATAATCGATGATACCTGTAGAGGAAGATCAAAAAATCTTTTTAGTGATATTCTTTAACAATACCTTTACTTTCCTTCGTTTCCTTTACAAATTTTCAGTTCAACAAAGTGTCCTTTCTATATGGTCATATTTTGCCGTGCCAAGGTCTCTTGCAGGGGCTGGAAAGCGTAGATTTAACTATTGTGGGAAAGTTCTTTCACAGAAGAAATATTAGTCCTATGATTTTGCTTGTGTGAGGTTTGCGCTATCACGGAAAAAAACCACACACCCTTAAATGAGAAGTGCAGTTGTGCTGGAATCCCATTTGGGCGCAGCCAATTTTATATTCTTCACATGACATGCTAAATGATTAAATTTTGCTCATTGTTGACAAATGTACATAGTTACGTATACGTCATGAACTCGAGCCAAATATTTTCCCGTCCAGCCCTCTCACTCAGTAATTAAGTACATATTATTGAACGTTGTACATCTGGTATCATAATCTGTACTTCCATGCCGTCAAACACATTCTTTAAAGTCGGATTAAAATAACAGTAGTTTACTCACACAGAACTAAGCTGAAACGTCATTGAAGCAAATGGTAACGCGCGAGTGAACTGAAAACCAGGGTTTTCAATCGATTTCTGTGAAAAATGCAAGTAAAATGTTAATAAAACAAAAGTATAACACTATGCAAAACGGATTAGCAATAAGTATTTTAGAGACGCAAAAGGTGACAGGATAGAAGATTCAGTTGCTTTTGCGCGGTCTTTTGTCCGCTGATCAACTGAAAAACGGCGGCTGTCATATGTGCGAAAGGGTAGAAGGTTAAGGTGCGTTATGATAAGAAAAGTAAATTACTGACTGATTAACTGACTTACTAACTGACCAATTGATTGATTAATTACCTTTCTATTGACCAGATTCTTTTTCTGCATCTCTTTAAACACATCTTCAAGCTCTTCCTAGAATCAGTGACGATAAGTTTGTTAGTCAATTCTTTGATGGTGATCCGTCTAAGTATTACAAGGTTCCTGTGAACTACCAAATTAAAATAATAAAAAAAACAATAAATGAAAATAAAGAAACCGTCCTTCAAAATCTTTTTCCGATTCGTGAGACCACGTTAGAAAATTTACGTTTGCGTAGTTACATATTATTACATAACAATTTATTTTTCTCTCGTACCCCGCTATTGCAGACTCTCGCTTTAACGGACACTAAATCTCCCCACGAGGGTATCCACAATAACGGAAGTCGACTGTACACTCTACAAAGCGCGTGTTTTTTAAGTGGGGTGGGGGCGGTTGATATTTGGGTAGTTGGGAGGGAGGGGGGAGCTGCGCTCCAAGGGAAATCAGCCTTGTGAGCTTTGAAATTATACTAGACACCCAAGTTCCTTCTATTTGATTTAAGTTACCCTTGAATATGAGTTAAACATCTGAAAAACTCTGTAGGCATCGTATGATTCTTGAGGCGTTGTGAAGGCGATCTACAAAAGGAACGCACACAGATGATCAGTTCAGCATAATAAGTATGTGGTAAATTTCAGGCTTTACTAACTGTCTTTTCAGAAGACCAGACTGTTCTTGAGTGAATACACAAGATCAGAAAAAAGTACTATCAAATATCAACATTTATCAAAGATAGGAAATTATCAGAAACGATATTTACTAGTCTAAATGACTTTCATAAGGCATTACTTTCAGTGTGTTCAACTGTATAGGAAAGTATTCACAATGTTCATAATGATATGAAAAGTTGAATTACGCAATAACAGTTAGGTGAGAATTTCTCCCACCGCTTACGTAACAGGTTAACATAAATACCTTGAAAACTCGTCCACTCCATTCACACTCAATTTTCCCATAGGCTGGAAGGGAGTGGCTCTACCTCCTACCCTCATCGTTTAGCTCGTGACCTTGAACATGCGGGATCATTCCCACATCTTAATTCAACTGAGTATGAATGGGAGTGTTGTAAAGTAGAATAATATCCGCCGCTGGTATCTTAACCGGAGCAAACCACTCTTTCATCCCTTCTCGTGTTTGAAAAATCTTAGTTTATGCGCTACGAGCCACGTGGCTCTTGTCGCCTTCATTTAAATATATAATGTTGAACCTACTTTAAAGTTTATAAACTAACCTGAATCTGATCTCTAATGGCCGCCTTGTTTATATCACTGACACACCTGATACTGGGTCCGAGCGACAAAACACTGTCATCGGGAGAAAATGTCTGAAACTGAAACAATGCCGGCGGAGTAAGAGCAGGGTTCAATCAGTGAACAGCGCCACCATGCAGCAATGACTAAACATCTTCTTTAGTTGGTGATCATTTCCTTTATTCTCGACACCTTCATGTTTGATTCAGGGGTGATATTGTAGGGAGAAATCGGATGCTAGTCACTCTTTGGGATCAAAGGATTAATACAGATTAACTACATATGGTGTTACAAAGGGAGGTTGTCCTCAGGATCTCTTCAATCTATTCATTTGAATAAATGGAGGAGTAATATACTTCTTTATCTTCATTATCACTCATTTCTTGTAGCATTTAATATATCTCAGCTCCCGCTCCATGATGTATCTTATAACGTAACGCTCAACATAGACTATGCTATCACAGTTTAAATTCAAATGAATTTAAATACGTTAAGTTATATGCACCGAGTCAAAATGTCTCAGTGATCATCTGGGGCATATATCACCATTGGATTAATACTGACGTGCATTTGTCCCCATTGGATTAATACTGACCTGCTTAGAGGCCATGACCTGTACTCTGTACTTGTCATAAAGTTCTTTGACAGAAGAAACCAGCGTAACGTTTCCATCACAAACTAAACTGGAAGAGCTTTAACAAGGAAGCAAAAAAGCAAAACTAAGAACCAATAACACGGATTTTACCTTTATCATCTGCCTGTTGACTTGTAAAGAGAGTCCAAGAGACAAGAACAGTTGCTCTTTCTAAGGCTAACCATACGATAAACTAATACAGTCGCATTTGCTGTAAATTTGAAACCTTTCATAGTATAACGAGGGTAGAAAAGCATAGTTCCCAACAATATAATTACGGTCTTTCAGATGAGTAACACCTCTCGATCAATGCTCAGTTTTTAACTAATCTCTTCCGCTACCCAAAATGGTCATTGTAAAGCAACTTGAAAATATAAAGGTTTGGTTATCTGGATCAATATCAGTATCTGGGCAACTGCCCACCTACCCCTCCCCTAACTCAACAACAGTCAATTGACAACAATTTAAGGTTAATGTTGGGTTAGGGGAGGGGTAGGTGGGCAGTTGCCCAGATACTGATATTGATCCGGTTATCTTTTATGTCTTACATGCGGTGATACAACAGTTACATGGATATCATAACACCAGGAAAACAAAAGTCTCAGTAACATGGTGGACCTATGTACTGACAGCAGACGTTTGTAAGGTATACTGTAAAAGATCCTAAAATATTAAATGGCCTTTTGTAAATAGTTCAGCGAGGAGAATTACAGTAATCCTCCTAAGCTGAAATATTTACGTTAAGAAATTTTGAGTCAGTTTTTTGAAGGAGACTAAATCACAAAAAAGGTTGTAATAAACCAAACAGGAAGAAGGATAACTAAGTATGGAAACGATTCAAACTTAAAGCAACTAGCGAACTTATGAAACTCGAGCTTAGTTTTCTTAAGATGAAAACCTGTGTCGTATCTCTTTGCGAAAAACGACCAAAGGTTAGAATTCTTAGTCATTCCACTGAGCTAAAAATATACCACTCATTGGTTTTTATGGTGGAATAGTCGGATTAACAAGAGTGCACAAAAAGCAAACGGCTGGTTTCATGTTTGGCTAACATCAAGTGGTTGGAACCACGATTAGGATGCGCGTATTTCGGGGTTTCTCTTATACCTGAACTTGTGCCTTAATCTCTTTACAACTTCTTGAAACATTTCCTCAAAATCAGCATTTGAATCTTCAAGTCCTTTGAAAGACTGCAGTTAAGGGGAAGATAATTGATTGATAAGTACAGGTAAATAATGCTTGTAATTAAAGCCTATGCACTCAGAGAAAATCAGTCAAAGTAACTATCCATCTAATCTAAAAGTCTCCTGCATTCACCTGACCTACTGAAGTTGTATCATCAACTCACCTCATAACAACCGGACGTTCCTACTCGTCCGCCATTGTACCTATCTACCTTTTCAAACATACCTCTAAACAATCTCAGAATAAACAGTGAAATCAGACGATATCAAATTTAATTACTCCAAATTCGAATTAAAATGAGATATTTCTAATCTCCTTTTGCTTTAGCGAGATCCAGTGCACTTGCTACGTTATCCTTTGAAGTAGGTAGAACACAAAGTTGAAATAGCAGCACGAATGGCTAATTAAGTTTATCAAAACAGCTCACAGCCTATTGTACACGAGCTCTTACATCATTGACCCCGCCCCCACCCCCCCTGGTTTGTGTTTGTATCTACCTCTGACTAACAACATGTGTCGGGGAGTACTGAAGTTGCAGTCTTGTAGAACTTCTCCCTTTGCCTGTGCGCTACCTAAACCCTGCCTCTCCCTACTTTAAGATAACCCTTAGGATACTAACCTCATCATGTGCACACTCCGCTGAACATATCTTTACAGTCATCTGTGACTGAGGACTTTTCATCAGTTTTAAAATTCTGCGCTGAATATTGGGGGCCGTCTTGTCAAAGCTTGACTGTAAAAAGAGGATGTGCATTATGCCCTTGGAACAGTTTCTAATATACTGTTACTTACGGCCTCCCAAAGTTTTAAATCAGCAAAAACTTAAGACACAAAAACAGTTCATTTACACGCAAGGAGGTTAACTTTTCAACTGACATTCAATTTTTCTTTTTCCAATTTGCCTTTGAAATTAGTGACCCTAATCAAACAAAATCCCTGGAGTTTGCTAATGAGAAATTGGCAAACAAAATAACCATTTTATACATAACAGAGGTATACTAACCGCACATTCTTTGTGCAAGATGTTCCTCATACAAACAAAAGGATTGTACCGTGATGTTTCACTCTTCATCATTCCAAGCGCAACTCGGAACAGTAGTAGCTACACACAACAAAACAAGTAGATAAATGCAAACATTTGAAACAGGATTGTTGTTCTTAAAAACCACACATCGTGTTAAAAGGAGAAAAAACCGCTGAAAGAACATTAACTGTACCCAGCTGTCCTCCTCATGGGAAAATGAGATTCTTTCGTTTACTTTCTTGGCCAAAATGTTCCTGTCTTCGTCATCGATCGCATCTATGATGGCAGAGTAAGATAAAAACTGTTCACAAACATTTGTATTTGAGTAGACACTTTATGGCTATATTAACTGGTGATGCAGACACCGCTGATGCATAACAGCGATGTAGGCATCGTAATCTGCCATGCTACGATAAATTTCAAGCAAATTTATTGTGGTAATTCAATTGAGTGGCGAGCAATTTGGTTTGAAACCACAAAAATATGATTTCAGACCATTTTGCATAATACAAAGTTTAGTTGCATAACATTCGTTTTAAAATCGCACGATTTAATTGCCTTAATACGGACTTTTGGTCAGTATTGATATTTCATTTATTCAGTGGCGAAAAAAAAGAAAAGAAAAAGAATGCGAAAAATGAATTTTAAGTCTTTGTTTTGTTTTGTTGTTCCAGTTGCGATTTAGAGAGAAGTCTGCGCACATCGTGAATAAACCACACCTGTGAAACCACAGACTGCAAGTACCACCTCAAAATGAATGTGAAAAATAAAGAGAAAAGAAACCACGAGTGGCATTAACGTTGTGATCAGCAGTTGTCAGTCAACATACTTAGATGGCCAGTTTTACAGGAATGTTCTTCTTTTCTTTTCGTCTTCTCTCGAGCATTTCCAGCTTGTTTCTTTTCAGCGGTGTTAACAGTTTTCATTTTCTTTGCACTGGCAAGTTCTTTCTCACCCTCTTGTATATCTGTGATCAGAAGCACAAAAACCGCATGGTGACTTACTGACTGATTAAACCTTTAACCTCCAAGAACGACTGACATCTAATTCATCCTTACAATGTCAGCCCTAAATCAAACACAAAGGTCACTAGAATAAAAGAAAATGATCACCAACTAAAGACGCTCTTGATTGTTAAACAAATTCTCCTTGTCAGCACCATAGGACATGTACAGAGAACAGTATCGAGAATATGCATACTGATGTTAGTGTGTAAAGGGTCAGTTGGGAATGACACTACTGCCATGCTATAAGGAAAGCTTTAGGTTAGCTTTAGAGGACAAATTCAACAAACTGACGATCAATTTAGGACTCCCTGAGCAGAAGATCTTCAAATATAATGTTTAATATTTACCATCTGTTTTCCTTTTACGCTTCTTTTTCTGTTGCTTAATCTTTTCTTTATGTGCTTGCTGTTTCATTTCAGGTTTTCCGATGCTCCAGAAAGTTTTTCCTCCTTGGTTACCAGCACTATCAGTGTTCTGAACACTCTCATCACTTGTTACACTAGCTGATGCTTTTGGTATTTTCCTGTAAATAAGTACGGAAGTGAAAATGGTGAGTGTTAAACACACTCTAATACCTATTATTATACCTCTCAATTAGTACAAGCACTATGATTGGTTTATTTAAGGAATTGTGAAGAATATTTAATTTTTCTATCGTCCTAGCTTTCAAGATCCCCCCATCCACTATCGATATCCTAAAATACGTAATGTTTTACTTTTTGTCACAAACATCTTTTTCTCTAAACATTTCCTCAACTTTTTGTGTGAATGGGGTATAAGATAATAAGGTTTTACCATCTGAGTTGATAAGGTTACTGATTTCTTTTCAATCACGCGATAGACTTCACCGGGAAGGAGAGACTGCTCGTAGTCTATATTTAACGGACGGTATTTCACTGTACGGCTCGCTAAATTCCAAAGTTTGTTGATTTGAAATCTTCCTTCTCTATTTGAACTCAGCGAAATGGTTAAAAATCTTACTAAATCCGCTCGGATGTAAGGCCGAGTCAAGCAAAAAAAGTTACCTTAACGTTAAGTTCTTGTGAAACTGTCAAAATGGCTTTTATTTAACACTAAAAGAAAGATCCAATTAACAAAAAAAAAGACCCACCGGAGAGGAACTTTACACGTCCATTACTCGTCAAAAACTGCGCCCCAGATCGTTTCAACAACCGATTCTAAATGTGTAATTACTTATTACAAGAGAGGTATCAATGACTTTCTAACCGTGTTGACGCTGTCATTACTCGTGTCCAGTTCCTCTTCAAATGACTGAAAAAACACCTGTCCAGACCAGCAGCACCCAGCTGATCTCCGGGGGGAAGATCCACTTTGTCTTCATCTACTTCTTCTTGAGCGAAGTGGAAAAGTCTTTTGTTCTTCATAGAAGACATACTTTGGTCAGGAGCTCCTTCATCGACCTTCACTACACCTGAGATATTGAGACATGAACTGATTAATGTTGCGACAATTTATAATAAGCTAAAATACACACGCAGTTTGATTGGTTCTTACTTATGATCTATAGGAGAATAGACGCATAGATGACGTCACCGATACCAAATGTTTGCTTTGTAATCAAAAAAAATATTTTCTCTGTTGTCGTACACAGTAGTAGATCACAGAAGAGATCAACCCGTGGTGAGAACATGAGTGACAAACTCGACTGAACGTCGGGTCCCCCTGTTTGTTCTTACCACATTTTGAGATCATCTTAGATCTGCGGATGAACAGGTGCACGGTCACAGAATCTATTTGTTAAGTATTGCACATATAAATTGTATCCCAGGGATTTTAGAGAGTATGGAAACTTTACAATTCAATTTGGGCGAATTAGTATGAGAAATCATCCTTTCCTTTCTTTATCCCTGCCTGGCCGATTACTCAGCATGTAGATAAATAAAATAAATAGGAATTAAGCGATGGACATTCCACTACGTAGCCCTTCTTATCCACTGTTTTCAGGTGGAATTGGAATCAAAATTTGGGATGTGAACGAAGAAAATGGCATTAGGGGTGTGAAATACTTATCCTTTTAATTGTCCACTTGCTACTCTAAAGTACGTTTTGTGGAGGATATCAAATAGGTACTGTGACTATTTTATAGTTCTAAAGACACAGAGTTGTTAAGGGTTGAAATAAATTCAAAGTTTACTTTTTGACTAATTAAGGCGGAGTGCCACTGCCAATAAACTTGAAGTGTTAACCTGGGCATCCAGAAAGCCAAAAAACAACAATTATTCCAGGAGGACTGGGAATAATAGCTACTAAAAGAATGTGAATTACAGACCGGAATTAACAAACATTGAAGGAAAGAATAAAGTGGACATGATTTTGTTTGAAGATAATTACGTTGAATATGATAAATTTAATTCAGTAAGTCAAGGAATTAATGGTAAACTCCTTTGAAGTATGTCAAACTTACCTAAGGGTGTGTTGAGACAAACACATTTCAAGTCAGTCCAGAAATTTTTGACAGCAACAGTGTTCGAGAACATGTGACGACGTGATACAAACGGTTTGCCTGCTGGAGGAAGCGCAGTCCTGTAGTTCTTTAGAGACGTTGTGGTATCCAATAGTCTTGTGCCCTTGTGCAAAAACATTCTTATCTGGATGGGAAAACAAGTTAAAAAAAGAAGCCAATTCAATGCGAATAAAAGCTACTTCCAGGAAATGTCTTTACATAAAGTACTGTGCAAAAGTAATACAAACGATTATCGTCGATCTCGCTATAATCACCTCGCGCGAGGTAATTATAGCAGGGTCGCAAAGTTTCAAAATGGCTGCCACACGCTTTGTCAAGGTGGTAAACGCAAGAAAGTGATAAACGCAACAGAAGAATATTCAATTGCGAAGACAACAAAAGATGCTACTGAGTTTGATGAAACACTCTTCAAAAGTAAGGTGTATAGTTTTTGCTGATTGAATCAAATAAACCTGTTAAAACAGCTTGCTTATCTTGCTCGACACAATTTTAACAAAATATCCACAATGCTTTCTTTAGTTACAGAATCTACAACATAATTCTAAAGAACCTGAGCAATTATACTAAAACAATTACTCGCCTGAGGCTCAGTACATTTTGTTGAATAACCCAGCCCCTCGACTTTGTCTCGAGGATTATTCAACAATATTCACTTCGCTTAGCAAAGCTGGAAATCTTCCACATCATTCATCTTCAAACCTTACAAACTTTTCAATGTTGATGGTAAAACCACACACGCAACTACACGTGTTCTAGCAATGACACTTACATGGTTAAAACTGTGAGGGAATGGTTTAGCTGGAGTGACTAAACCCATTTGACACAGGCACAAGAGAAGCTCAAGTGGTGCTGGATGGTATCGCCTAAAATTCAAATCAATCATGAGTGTGCTATAATTACTCCTACAACATTTCTACAATGTATGGACAAATGGAACACCTCTTTCGTTGCGACAACATACACTCCTCTCTGTTTTTTGATAGAAGCAGCTAATTACAACATACACTCCTCTCTGTTTTTTGAGAGAAGCAGCTAATTACTGCCACGAATCAATAAATGCCTGAAATTTTTTTCTTGGGTTTCTGATAGCTGCACTTAATTCAATCTTAGTGATACAAAGACAATTTAGGTTTGGTCCTGACAGAGATATCGAGGGAATTCCCACAAGATCAAAAATACCACAAAATTGTGAATATGACGGGTTATCACAAGCCTGATTTAAGCACCACAACTGTAATACAACATCGTAGGCGCCATGCTTGCAATTGATCTGTGTTTAGTAAATAACCCCTTGTAATTGATTTGATTAATTGGTAACAGGACGTTGTGTCATCCAATTCTGTTTGTAAACATACATGTGATTACAAAATCGGACTCCTGCTTCGCGGTCGTCCGATTTTGTAAATCTCTCGTATGATTACAGATCGAACTAGACTCCAACCAGTCCTGTAACCATCATTCTAAAATAAAGTACAACATTATGGTAGTTACAAAGTAGGAAGGTTTAAGATTGACCCTATACACACTACTTCTAGAAAAAATATGGCTCAGCAAAGGTATATTCGATGTGCAAAAGCAAAAGTATAGCTGGATTCTTACCGAGTTTCCTTAAGTTTGATCCTTAATTGCTGAGGAAGATCACAGAAAAGTGTGTACTTTTTCACTGGATCAAAAGCATATTCATCAAAACCTTCCACCTAAGACCAAAGAAGAAACGTTAATCTTTTAAATTAACGAAAAGTTTCTCTGATGAACGCTCATTAGACCTCAATGTAAGAGTGAACTGGGGATAATCCAGAACTGCAAGGGATTTGCATAAATTAATAGTAAAGCATCTTCATTCATTACTTACGCCGCTTATTGTCTGGCGTGGTTAAGTTATGTAAAAAGATTGTGGCCGAGGCAATGAGCAGCTAGGTGCGAAAGTGCTAGCTACGAATAACTTCGCTGAAACTTTCCGGTTTGGATATCTCTTTTGAAATGCCCTAAATCTAAGCAGCAGATCATTAAATTCGGAGATATTGCACGTGGAAACATAGCATGACATTACGTAACTAGTTTCCATCGAGCAGGGCTACGTGATCTACGTCCGCCGGAATTCTGCGGCGTATTTATCAATGAGAATAACAAAAGAAGATGACTGATTAATTCGTTAAAAAAAAAAACACCTACAATAACAAATTAAATATGAGCAAAGAACAATGATACCTCCTCGGTTATATCAACTGTTTTGCAAAGTATGTTTAAAGGCATCACTGGCATCACATCAGCCAAACGAAACCAGCCTTGAAGTGGCTCTCCTGCCTCATCACACACTTTATTCATTGGTTTTAAGTGTTTAATCCACTCATAATCCTCATTCTCTGTTGCTGCTGGATCGTCACTCTCAAATAACGCTTCTTCTTGAGTGTCACTGGCTCCAGGCTCATCCACATCACTTGTGTCTGATGAAACTTCACCATAAACAAGCTGCCATAATAATTCATGAATCAACTGTAGTCTTGGAAATCTAGGCAAATGGCCATACTTTTGAGTTGAATGCTGAAAGAAAAAATATCAAGGCGAGGTATGAGTACAAGGAAATAAGTGCCAGTTAGGCCACAAGCGCCTTTGATTTACATGGCTAAGCTATTTTCAAAGGGGTAAGTTTCTAAAGAAACTGTGGTGCTCCGTCGGCGATGGTAATACAAGATAATTTGGTTTATCAACAGAGTTGATCATGTAAATAGGCCACCATAAACAGTCTCTAAAGCTGATGTTTAGAGCATTAGCCCTTCAGAGAAAAAAAGGACTGATGCACATTCCCAGAAATTGCTGCCACGCGATCTACAGCATTGTGCGAGAGCTATGGCATCCAACCTTTGGGTTTAGATTGCATTCCAAACGATAATTTTTACAACTTGATCATTCTATATAACTATGGAGAGTGACTGTAGATATACAGTCAGTTTTGAGCACAGCTTTTCATTTTAGTTTAAGGAGCGTGTTGGTTAATAAAAATAACGTTATTGTAAATTTAAAAAAAGTGCTTGACTTTACACAATGAAAGTCCAAATTTCTAAATAAGGCAGCTTTCACTTGAATTTCAAAGTCAAAAGCTAAGTAATCACGAGAGCCAATCGGAACAAATGATGATATCACCATCAGCCAATGAGGACTCCAAGTAAAAACGCCAAACTGTATGAACGCGGGAAAACGCATGTGTACCAATCGTGATTGAATTCTGTTTTGAATGTGATTGAATCTAATTGGTTGAAAATGTGGCGCGAGTCGTCCGGGCCAATCACAGAGCGAAGGTGACCAAAACCGAAGCAATCGTGAATTACTTTCAACGCTAAATTGAACACGGCTCAATTACAGCACCCCCATGAAATAATTTCAGACTGTACCGTGAATTGAGGTTTTGCTGGTGTACTGTCTTCCTTTGAGTCACTCTTTTCATGAAGCTGTTGTGCTTTCTTCAGTGCATCTTTTTCTTTCTTTTCAATTTTCTTCCTCTGCTTTTCTTCTTCAACAGATGCTGCTTTTTCAAGTTTTTTTCTTTCTTTTTCTTCTGCGATCTGCCTGGCTTTTTCCTCTCTCTATTGATATCAATACAGCAGAAATACATTTATGAAAGCTATTCACTAAAACGTTTAAATGTTGTTTCTCTTCTGTATTATACAGCATCAAATGGTAACTTCACCTTCCTTAAGAGAAAAATGGCCTTTTTCAAGTAGCTTCCCATACATGTACTTCTATTCATAATAATGCTACATATTCAGACAGGGCCCCGCAAGGCTTAATCATTCAAACTGCTCCTTGAGTTTATGATCAAAGTGGCTTTAGCTCATAGTAACAGCTCGCCGTTTTACAAAGTTTTTTTTAACTTTGCTTGTTTGTACCTTCAATTGTTTCTTTTTAAGAGAACACAGTAAGCAAAAAAGGCAAGTGAGCATGAATTATTGTATATAGCAAGGTTTTTTAAAGGTAAAGGTCAGCATAGAGGTGTTGTGGTACTGGAATTCAAATTACAGTATTATAAAATGGTTTACATGCAAAATGAACAAATTCAGATATAGAGTATGACATCAGTACTCTGGTTTACATACTGATAGTTGATTCATAGGAACAAGAATAAAATTTCTGAAGCACACCACTGTTTACTTCTTGCATGTCTAGCAATTATGGCTGAGCTAATTCTGATCAGGTGCACTGTACCTCTGCATCTTTAAACATCTGATCTCTAAGTCTAACACGACACTGTTCCAACATAACTGCAACTTCAGAGTCATTGCTGCTGATGGATGAATGTAAGAACAGGTCCACCTGTGAAACATACATATATAATCTGTGTTATGAAACTGATAGAGAAATACCTAACTACCCCATAAATAACACCGTCATGTACTAGATACAAGTAAATACCATATCTCTTCAAATTACCCTCCCCCTCGTGTTTCTTTAAAATTTCAGTTTTAAGGAGGGGTTATTGGAAGGAGGGGGGCACTTACAAAGAAACTATTACCCTGTACTGACTCCACTGTAGTTGAAACTTTAAAAGTTTTAGATGAAGTGGCAATTGAGACTGGTTTTCATTGTACCACTAATCTTAAAGAACAGTAACAAATAAATGATTCTTGACCAGATTTACAGGAAAAAATCAGCCACCTATTTTTGACAGAGGATTTTCAGCTCATACCATGAAAAATGGAATATTCACTTTGATTTACATTAAATTTTTTTAAGTATGAACAAAATATTGTATCCCTAAGTTTTCTCTGCACTGGACAAAACTTAGTAGAAGGAAACTTTGCAGGCCAAAGCCACCTCACATCAAATTGTCATGGCTTTAAAAAATCTCAATTAGAGCTTTAATCTGTAAAGTCTCAATAAAATCCTTAAAAGCCACGAAATAAATCAAATTTGAACATTCCTGTACATGTAAACATAAGGCTAAAAATTTCAAGTTGAATTCACTATCAGTGAAAGCATTCTTTTCCTTGAATGTGTAATTATAACACACCACTTGTTTGCAGTAATTAAGTGTACAATTTTTAATCTACCGTTTGTGAAAGAGTTCCATGTTGCACCATAGTTGTGAGCTGTTTTATCAAACCTTGAGCACGAAGATCATCAAGAATCCTGTACAAGAAAAAAGCACTGTTAGACTGGACATTTAAACAGAGTTGAACATTTCCCAAACTAATCCATAACATTGTGTCTTGCATTCCTAGATGTATGTAAGTTGATACGTAAATTGGCTACCATTAAGAGTTTTGAAGCTGACACTTGAAATGTCAGCTTTGTAACTCTTAATCCTTTACACCCTAAAATCAGTATGCATATTCTCCATACTGCTCTTTATACATTTCCTAAGGTGATGACAAGGAGAATTTGTTTAACAATCAGCCTTTTTAGCTGGTGATCATTTCCTTTATTCTCATGACCTTAATGAGTGATTCAGGGATGATATTATATGGGTAGAAATTTTAATGCTAGTCACTCTTAGAATGTATAGGGTTAATGGTGGCCAATTTAGATTATCAACTCAGTTGATAATGCCAAATCACTGTTTCCATAGTACAACTGAACCTAAGGTAAATCAAAGGACAAAAATTGCTACATGAGAGTCCATAAACTGGGTGTCTGTACAAACAGGTTGTTATGGTGATTGACATGCAGTCTAACCATATATAAGACTAACAAGAGGTAATATTCTTTTTACCTGTTAAGCACCTTTCTATCAATTCGGCCTTGATGTCCTTCTTCTTCTTCACTTGTTATCACAGCCTTGAAAAAAAAAAGTTCATGTAGCCATGAAAATTCCAATCCTATAGAACTGTACATTTTAAAAATTGCCTGAGCCAATAGAATTAATAATGTCCATGTTATTGAAATAGACACAAGAGCTTATGAACATGTAGCTTGACAAAGTATCTGAAATGATCCAAACACACCACATGAATCATTTAAAAGCTACTGATTTTACAATACCATTATCAAATAAAAATCAATCACAATTAGACAGGAGAATATAATGTTACATCAAAATAATACCCTCTGACTGATTGGCTTTTAAGTTTATTTCTTATAACCTGTTTGCAAGATAACATACTGGAATAACAAGGAGAAGTTACATGTTTATCACTTAAAGGGTAAAAAGTGGTTCAAATGTAACAGGCACCAAAAAGTCCTCAAAGGAAAAAAGAAAAGATGGGGTTTTGCACATGGCTTATTTTTTCCTAACAAGCATGTACATAATTATGTATTTGTGAAATGAACCATGGTCAAGTGAGCTGCTAGGCTGCTCACACTTAGGTACAGGTCTGACAATTACAATTATGCACAAACTAAACTACCTTTAAGACAAAGTACTCTAAGCTGAATTATATAAACAGATTACTCCAAGTGTAATTTCACCAACAGAATAATATTAAAAAGTATTACAACCAAATGTTACCTTTTGAATTGGATAAGATCCTTCAACCACTTTCATCTTTTCCAAGTATTCCAATATCACAGCTCTTCTCTTCAGTTTTCTATAAGTGACTCTCTCCACTAATAAAAAATAAATTCAACAATTGAGAAAGTGCAACAAAAAACTGCACCAGAGATGCCAGAAGCTGTGTTGCATGTAACTTCCAACCTTTTTACTATACCCACTCATATCACCAACTATAAGTCATGAAAATTACTAAAAAGTGAACACAGCTGCTTCAAAATGAATCCTGGCTTTAGTATAATACAAGTTATTTTGTATCTTCCTGGCTGACTTGATTTCAAATGAGTTTATTTCAATTACCAAAATCAGATTGAACAAAATATCACATTTATGGAGACATGCATTTCATCTAAAGAATAAACTGCAAGTGAGTATCAGTCCAAAATTAAGCCTTCAAGGAATTTTGTTTGCATCATGTGAATAAAGAGAGTCACCAAATCATTCTCAACATACCCACACCAACTCCACTAAGCCTTGGTTTTGGCATTTTTTTACTCAGGTCAATACCTGAAATAAAGGCACATTTAAACAAAAATTAATGTTTATAAATAAATTGGATTTCCAAAGCATTGATTAGGAAGCAACATCAGTAAGTCAACCATTGAGGTCAACAAATAAAGAATACCTGGTAGACCAGTGTACACAATATTATGACAGGAATACTTCACACTTACAATATTTTATAATATTGTTATTAAGAAGTAAATAAGTACATCAAAATATAATTTATCATAGTTTATACTCAAAAGTTTGTTAATTGAACAAGATAATTGCTCCCATTTTTCTCATTCATACATCATTCTATGTTATGGTACCACAATAGATAGTATAAACCATTTTATGACACACATGTACACTGTACATTGTAGACAACATATTTTAGAAGAGAGAAGCATTTGCACAAGAGTGATGTTGCACAAACTGCCTCTATAGTCCAAGATTATTTAATGTTTATTGTAACTACATGTAGATCCCTGAAGGAGGACCACTACATGAATTACCTTCTGTGATGCTCACATCTGCTGCTTTAGTCTCCATTTTTTTTAGTTCATCCCTGATTTGTCTCACTTTTACTGCTTGTACATTGCTATCCATGAATGGAGCTGCCACAAACCTAGAGTCATGAGAGGTATGAATTCAAGGTGATGCAATAAAATCTTCACAGCATTGGAAAAACCTTCCTATTAATTGAACATAAATTTATACCAATTTGACCAGGCATTGGTTAGCCTAAAGCAATTCAATATGAAATTTTCAAAATTTTTGGTGGTCATTATACAAATTAAAACTTTGAATTTGCAATAGATAGTTAATACCAGATATTTACCAGGCAACTGTTTGCTTTTTTACAGCTTGATGAACCTCATGGACTAAATTCTTTTTCTTCAAATTCTTAACAAAAGCTCTGACATCAGCAAAAGGAAGCTTGCAAGCTCTACGATATTGCTGAAAAGAAGTAAAGTATTATTGGAATATAAGGAATATATATTACTGTAACTGTCTATGAGTTTACATATGTATTTATATAAATATATTTAATCTGCATACTCTAAGTACATCCAAGTGAGTACTGCATTTAATTTCATTCCATATATTTGCAAACATCAACTACACAATTTACGGTACACCATGAAACAACCACACATACAGGTACATGTACATTGTTATGCAGACTCTCAGCGAGACTCTCAACCAGACTATTAAGCCCACTCTCCAAGAGTCTGGATAATCCAGGTTTGTCTGTATTACAGTATTAAAACTGATTTAAAGTTCTCCAACCCTGACTTACTGACAGAGTCAATCCATGTGGTCCTGCCTGTTCAATAATCTTGTAAACCTGAGTTATCAAAGGTCTCTCAGCAATAATATTTGACTCATAATCTAGAAGAAAAGGAAAACAAAATAAAAATATTTTCTCAGAAGTAGGAAATACAAAGGTGGTCTGTGTTCATTTAAATACCATGTATATTGCAACATGTTGCAATTAGTATTGATGGAACTTCTGAGCAAAATGAATAAACACCCCATCTCACCCCCACTTCAGAAATTAGGGGCCTTACAAAATGACAATGATTATGCTGAGGATGACACTGAACAAAAAAAATTCACAAAAAGTGTCTTCTTTTGCAGATTGTTTAGAAAATGTATAACAAACCTCGTGTCTGTGTTACCTGCCACAGTCTTCCACTTCTCAGGCCTCAGTTTTTTTAGGCCCTGGTTTTTATAATTCATGCTATCATGGAAAAATTTAATACAAATAATTGCTTATTATACACCAGTTCTTCCATATCATACCATCACTTTGCAAAGAGTCATCTCCTTCAACATTCTGTTCCTCATCATCATTATCACCATCATCATCATCATCATCATTTTCATCATCATCATCATCTTCATCATTTTCCCCACCATCTGGCTTCTGAATGTTACTGGTTTTCAAAATAAAAGGTTTGAGAAGTCGCATTTTTGTTGTGTGAACATTAGGGATTGCAGATGATTTTTCATTTTTCCTTTTCCTCTTTTTTGGTGGACTGCAGTCATTGCCATCTGCTCCATCAGGAGATGCTCCAATTTTTTCTTCCACAGCATATCCTGCCTGTACTAGAAACTGCCGTACTTTCCTCAGGCCCTTTTTCCTTAATTCAGTCTATTGATAGAGGACAAAAGGAAAACTTACTGGTAAATAACACACTTTCTTCATTCCAGGTCATCATCAAATAACTTTGTCACACAATAATGGTGACATTACTTCCTTGATTTTTCCTCAGAGGACTATTTCAACTCCTTCCCTGCACTTGGGGATATTATACTACATTGCTAGAGTGCTTAGAAGCTGGTCAGTAAGACCTTCACATTGCTCATGACAACTAACATTTTGAATTATTTTAAAGAAATTCACAAATACAAATCAACCAAAGGCCAATTTTTTAAACAAATAAATTTTGAATATTCTACAGTGACTTTACATTTTTCCTTCCAAGAATGCATTTAAGAATCATAAAGACAAGTATAGTACCAAATTTCCCTCAGTGATTGTCTTTGTGTGAAAGAATACTGGCATATATATGCAGTGAATGACAAAAGATGAATCAAAGTACAGCTGCACATGTATTTGCATGCACACCACAGGACACATGAAATTTTTCTACTGCATTTACATAACTAGTCATACACTGGAAGTGCCTACAGTTCCAACAAATTACACATGCCTGATGCCTGTTGGGTGTTCCACTAAACAGTCAAGAAGTACTAGAAGTGTTCCAAATTCTCCAGAGATTAAATCCAATATAAATGGAGCCTGGCAATAGTTGATTGCTAACAACTGAAGAAAGACACTATAACATCTTTCCCTCATCCCAGTGACATTCACAGCTTGATTTACCTTGAATCACTCAAGACCATTGCAAAGACTTGAGATGCTTAGAATCATGAACAAGTGGCTATTTCCTTTCAACTGTTTTTTACAGTAACATACTATCTTCCAGAATTAAAAACAATTTTACTTACAAAATGTTCTTGAATCTCAATCAACGGCAATTCCTGATTTGGTGAATCTAATAACAGCTTGCACAGTCTAGATGCCAGCACATCATACTTGTGGTGCTCTTGTACATGGAATCTTTTTAATCTCACCACATTGGTAATAGCATTACTCACATTCTTCACAGGATCAGTTGTACTAACAACAACATTCTAGAAAAATTAAGATTAACATTGCAAGCTAAACAATTAATGAATTAATGATTTAATTAATGATTCATTAAGTTTCTTTCATTAATGAATCAGTAATACCTATAAAAAAGATAGATTTCAGTTTGAGGAATGACAGTTGATTGTCTAGACAGGTGTTTCATCAGTCTACTACACCCAAGAGACTGTTTAGAACCCCAACACAAGATTGATAAAACACAGATAAGGGATGAGAAAAGGTGATGTCAACAATATTGCACTCCCAAACTTTATTTACTTCCAAACCATATGATTGACTAGGGCTCTGCTTCATGCTTAACCTTTAGAAAGGTGGATTTATTAGTAACTAATAACTAGGATTGTCCACTATGGCCATTTTCTGTTGGTATTTTTGCCTTGTTTTACAGTGTTAAAGAGAAGCATAAATGGCATGTTTCACTAACCAAATATGATAAAATGGCATAATACATGCAGTGGAAAAATTACAAGAATTACATCAATTTATATTTGAGAAGGGAAACCCCACTATAATATCAATTTCAAAACCTTTTCCAATCACAGTTGGCCTAGAGGTTGTCTACTGATCTATCACAATGTATAATATGTACAGCCATTGTTATAAAAAATTGACTACTGAGACTGTATGCCTGTGTACTATACTTTACCTGCATAGTTACTAAATGAGCTTTGCGCAAAATTTTCAGATGATGAAATGTTGTCCTTGATTCAACCTTAAAGAAATTAGAGCTGATGTATTTCTGCATGCGTCCATTATATCTTGCTTGTCCAACATGCTCCAACAAACAGTACTGTATGTCTGACAGTGGAACATTTGGATCACAATCCAATCCAAGGATGGCTTTTTCCCTCACTTCCTGAGAGGCAACCATAACAAGACAGTCTCCCCACCTGCAAACATTAAAAATAAAAATATCCACACAATCACACTGAGTTTCATCCCACCAGCATTTCTAATCTTTCCAGAAATGATCTAAATCCACCCAAACAGCTTGAGCCACAGCTTCTTTGTGATAGAAATAAACAGGATGATTTCATGTGTTTTTGTTGAGACATTACAAAAATTTTATAGTAAAGCAAGTTTGTTATAGAAAATGAGTAAAGTTCAAATACCCTTTCTCTTGTAAATAAAATTTTAATAGAACATGGCAACTGGTAAATGGATTTTAATTACAGTGTTACAGTAACTTATCAGTATGCAGGGAGTGCTTTCAGTATTTAAGAATAGTTTTATTTTACTCTATAGTAAAGATCAAAAAGCTTTTCCTCCATTCTTTTCGTAAAATTAATCATTGCCTAAATTCAAACAGAGAATTTCAAATAGCATTTTATGAATTTTTTGGCAAAATCCACCAACAGTAATGACATACCTTTCGTAAGCAGTCTTTAAGTCTAAACAATCTCTATTCAAAGAACCTCTTATCTCCTCTGATATATTCTTGCGCACATGATAACTTGGACAGGAACCTCTTATTCCACTTTCTTGGTCAGAAATGAGCTTAAACTCACAACTGTATCTAAGTGGCCCTGGAAACTGAAAAGATATTCATGGTCACATAACTAAGGTAACTAGATAAAAGTAATTAGTGTAATTAAGATCATAATCTTTTCACTCCCAAGATCTCATTAGTAATTCTCCTTACTGTCTGTCTAACAATTCTTGTAAAGTTACCTTGGAGAAGTTGCTATTTGTCCAACTAATAATCTGCTTGTTGATATTTTTCTTTATTCTCATCACTTGTCTGCTCAATATTTTATTGTTACCATAAGGAAAAATTCTTTCTTGGTCACTCATGGAAGTTATAGGGCTAAGATTCAGTCTGGCAACACAGTCCTATTGAGCAACTGCAGCCTTACATGAGGAATGACAAATAAAATCTTTTTGCTTGCTTTTGCTTCTAATCAGTGCTGACTACTGCAGGTGAAATGTACTGCAAAGACATCTTTTTCATTAATATTTATTCACTGATCAAAAAAGTGAAAACAAACACGATTCCTGCCCAGCTGTGCTGCTGCAGATATATACCATGACGTGAAACAATGCAGAACTTTATATATTTTGATACCTGATCAAGAGAGCTCTTTTGCTCAGGGTTTGCATCCTTATCTTCACTCCCCTCTTCATGACTATTGCCAAATATGTGAGGAAAAGGCTCTGGAAGGGCAAAAAAGTCAACATCGTGGAATTTTGTGATTCCCTTCCATAAGAACTGCTTTGTATTTTCATCAAGTGGTAAAGGAAATGATGGTCTTCTTTTTTCTAGGTGCTTCCACAGCTCCTGTATAGGACAACCTGTAAGAACATAATTCACTAATAAGGAACTTTCTTGTCTTTGCACCTTTCTTTGTGCTGACCTCTCCAAGACATAAGCATGCTACATATGGGATGGGGTGGGGTAGGGCACTTATCCCCTTCCCTCCCTTAACGTAACCACTATCTTTCCAAAAGGTAACGTAGGAAACAACTTGTTTTTCGGTTGAACAATTAACCCGTGCACAGAAATTGATTGACGCTAATCACCTGTCCTCTACACATTGCATAAGGGTGAGAAAAATACATCGAGGCAAACGCCAAACGAAATAAAACATGTAGGGTCAGTATAAAATTTACCGCCAAATGGAGGACCTCTCTCGGCAGGATAATCAAAAGTACTTTCAGTGCTACCCCAGAATCATGTGGAGGATTTTCATCTCATCTGAGCTGAATTACGAAGTTAAGCTGAAATACTTACCGTCCAAACCATCCAATGCTATTTCATCAACGCAATCTAAAATGGCATCCATGTTTCAATAATTACATGGACGAATCGTCTGGTGTCATTAACGTGTAAAATAGCAACAAAAACATGGACACGTTTGGATTCTTTTTCGACCCACATTAACTCTTTAGATCCACCATTTTCAACCAGACCGAGAGCAGACTGGATAGGAACACAACATGTTATAGGCTTCGTGTATGGCTTACGATATGTCCTAGTTAACATTGTTTCACCACGATAACCATCCCTAGCAATTGACCCTTGAGTCAACCCTGTCCCGTATCTTTTGAACAGAGTTACGTGGGGGTTCTTTAATTTCCCGCGAAAACACGCTGGCGTCCGCATAACACCCTAAAAAAAAATGGTAGACTTTCCGCGCTTTTCGCCATTATTGAAATAAATACTTCTTTCGTGCGGCCTGCACGTGACGTAAACAATAGAGGACCACAGCTCTCTTATGATTGGCTATTATGTAAGCACCCGCGAAAAACCCCGTAGGAGGTGCTTCTAAAAATAAAAAGATACGGAACTGGGTTGACTCAGAGGGTCAGTATGGAAGATGGAAGCTCCGGATAATGGGCTCCTGACGATAACCCATTTCTGCCCTTAGTTAACTATGTTCTACCACGTTAACGGCCCTGCGCGTCTGTTTGCGACATCCTGTTTTTAATTTTTTTTAATCACCCCTTGACCATTTTATCTCTCAGAGGAAACAAAACTTGATGCGCGGATAATTAAAAAATTTTAGCGGGGTAAGCATCTTAAAGTGCTGTCAATCAACACACATGGCAAAAACATGAAAAACAGCTACATGGAGTAATGGTAGATTAACCTGAGTATTCTTATTTTCCTTTTATCTATGTGTTGTAACCCATGAGACATGTGCAATGCATGACATTTTGAGACAAGTCTGAACGTTTAACGAGGTGCGCCTCAATTCAAATTTGGCTAATTTATTGGTTTATTTAGTGATGATTGACTGGAGGACCGACGCATACATGACGTCACCATTATGAAGATTTTAATTCTGTATCATAAAGATTAAAAATATTATAAATAGCAGCACTTGTAGTTTATGTCGCAGAAAATGAAAAATTTCTTACCATCCTTATGATAGATATCTGCTTGAAGAAACAAGGTCACCATATTTTAAGTATGTTGCAATTTTCTTGAAAGCTTAGGTTCAAAACTTTGAACTTGAGGAACAAAATGAGAGCCATAAAACAAAAAGAGGATTTTAAGGCATTGTTACATCTATGTAACAATGTATTCTGTTTCAATTCAATCGAATTTCCCCCCTTCCTGATTAGCATTTTCTGCTTTTTGTTTTATATTTAGTTTTTCTTTATTATCGCATGGCCTGTCACTGTGATATGGATGAGGATCTACAATCGTTTATTGCCACAAATTATTCTGTTTATGCTTGCAAGACATCCTCATTTTCCCTAGTTTCTCTCAGCTTTGATGTCAATAATTGAATAGTCCATACAAAGAAGATATCTCTCTTAACTTGACCTCTGCTTTCGCGTTACACTCTTGAAATTTAACAACTTTTTTCTCTGCAGAAGTCTTAGCTCCTTTTTTGCCAGCAGATGGAGATTGTATTGATGCAATAGTGTTTATATCCTTCGATTCCTTTAAGACTTTCTTCATATTGCTTCCAAATGACGAGAAATTTGGATTCAAGGTTCAGCTTAAGAGTAGTCAAAACAGTGATAGACCATTAGATAGATAGATAGGTAGGTAGGTAGGTAGGTAGATAGATAGATAGGTAGGTAGGTAGGTAGGTAGATAGATAGATAGATAGATAGGTAGGTAGGTAGATAGATAGATAGATAGATAGATAGATAGATAGGTAGGTAGACAGGTAGAGGTAGATAGACAGACAGATAGGCAGGCAGGCAGGCAGACAGACAGACAGACAGGCAGGCAGACAGACAGACAGACAGACAGACAGACAGGCAGACAGACAGACTGCTAGACAGACAGACAGACTGCTAGACAGACAGACAGACAGACAGACACAGACAGACAGACAGACAGACAGACAGACAGACAGATAGACAGACAGACAGACAGACAGACAGACAGACAGACAGACAGACAGACAGACAGATAGATAGATAGATAGATAGATAGATAGTTTATTTATCCACATAATGCCTCGGAACATTCAGCATACTCGTTTAAAATGCGCATGTGCAATTACAAATTACTGAAAATAATGAAAATTACATAAGAATAAAAGACTATAAACAACCATGTGCAGGGCACAGTGACAAATATTGCACGGTAAAGTATTCCAAAGGTGGTTGGCTATGGATGCAAAGGAATTAATATAAGGCGCTACTTGCTATTAAAAGAATTTTGCTCAAGCTTAGTGTCTGGGTTTCTAAGTCACTAAGATTATAATTGATTGTACGAAGTTTAAAGAAATCTTTAAAGTAACTAGGACCATTCCCATTGAAACTTGTAAAAAGTAGGGTCAAAACATGAAAAAACCTCCATTCTTCTAGTGTACGTGTGTTAATTAATCTAAAAACACTATCATACGAAGTGGACTTAGGTAAACCAAATAACGTTCTGAGAATATAGTAATTTGCATCTCCTAATTTATCAGATAAAGATTTAGTTATTCCAATAAGCATTGGGCCGCAATACTTAAGACGAGGAAGAATAAAAGCCTTTTTATAATTGAATCATTACATGTATTGGAATAAAACGTCTATTTCTACGTAAAGCGTTTGTCTTAGCATATGCCTTATTAAGCTGGGTTTTTAAATGCTCCTCAAAGGTCAAGTTCGAGTCAATGATAACTCCTAGTATCTCTAGAGAGTCTTTTATTTCCACAGGAGTATCGCCTAACCAAAGTTCGTACTTATATGTGTTTGTGCCGATGACAAGAGCTTGAGTTCTCACAGTATTTATTGATAGATGGTTTACTGCAACTCATTCTATAATAGCGTTAAGTTCCTTGTTAATGGTTTAATTTAAATGTATCCAGTTGTATCATCAGCATATAAGCGGAAAGACACGGTGGAGATGAAATCGTTCAAGTCATTGATAAAAATATTGAATAGGAGGGGTCCAGGTAAAGATCCTTGAGGTACATCAGCTGTGATTGGTTTCCACTCAGAAAAAACGTTGTCGAGTCGACCTCTTTGACGACGACCAAGCAAATAAGACTTGATAAGATTAATGGCATCTGTGTCAAACCCATAAGCTTTGGATGATCGTCGAAGTCCTCAAAAGTGGAATCCTTATTAGGCGTTCAAGGTCTCTGCGACAAGTTTGGAATCAGTTATTAAAACATTATTTTACATCAAATTGATTATATTTGTTGAACCAGATTTACAGTTGGGCAGTAAAGGTTTTATCTTTTCCAGAATTCACCTGGGTTCTTAGTGTTTGTAAAGGCCGTATAGCAAAAGGCTTTCATTTCCTGGCGTTTAAGGAAGGGATCTAACTTTGTTCCGTTGTCTACGATAAGACTGCCAGGAGTCTGGCTTTGGGATTATCTTGTACTGTTTAAAAAGGCGATTCCGTCGATTGGAATACTGAACTATGCAAAGCATAATCTTCTGAACAGTCAGAATACACAATAACTCTGTGAAATTTTTTTTGTTTAAAAGCTCTACCTAAAGTTGGCAAGTGAATTTAAAGCAAAAGCAAAACTTTTACCACATTTTGAAACTTATTCGCTTTAGAACTTCGATTTTAAATAGGACAAGAAGGCAGCAGTTGTACAAAGCTGACATAACCTAACCCTAAGCAAAAAAAATACAATTAAAAACAACTTACAGCACTCTGACGAATTCTTGTACACTTTAAATTGACACTTCTCTGTAAAAAAAGGAAATCATCTTATTAATATTAACAAGTCAGAGAAAGGAAGTAGAGGGCAACCACACACTATGCTTTAAATTTATATCAATTAGTGGATACATGGGTAAGGTATCAAAAACAAAACAAAAAACCCTACAGGAGTTATTGACCAAGATCCTGTGATCTAATAGAGGGAAAAAGATGGAAAGTTTTACTTTCAATAATGAGACAAATAAGATGTTACAAAAGATAAGTTAAGATGCAAAACTCAGTGTTATTCATTATTCCAGTGGTATGGCTGTTATCCATTCTTCTGAAGTTTTCAAACCAAAATATTCATTTTCCCAATTACACCTGTCATGTATTCTTCAGTTTCAGTTTCCATCATCCCACTTAATGTAGTATGTTTTAACAAGATCACTGAAATCATAGTATGGCTGGTTATCAAGAAAAATACCTGGTACTTGCACACTCTGGTTTACTAAATTGTTGTCATTCTCGTAACGCGATGGCATACTCTGTACTGTGATCTGGTATGTTGCTCCATATCTGATTGTTTTGTGAAAGATCCAGGACAATATTTCCTTCTAAAAAGGAAACAACATACAATTTGATCTCGAATAATTTTATAATAATTTATTTACCTAAAAGAAAGATATGGCTGTCAATTGTTAGCAAAACAGTGAGCTTCTAGATGGCATTGTTTAATGATGGTAAACAGTTCTGAACAGTAAATCATGTTCAGTAGACAGGACCCTTGTGGAACACCCCAACAAATCATATAAATAAGTCGTCTTCTTAATTTCTGTCAAATACGTGTAGGTAATAACATGATTTCAAGGGCAATTTGCATCAGTTTTTCAATACAACAAAATTGCACAACCCTGTAAAGCGAGTGCAATTTCTAGTCTTTGAAAAATTTACAAGTGCTTAATATACCAAATTACTTGAGATTATTTACAGATCGCATATTCTTGACGATGTGCAACTCAGCAATTCCCAAGAAATAGCATATGTTACTTCTGGCAGTACGGGCTAATCTGTATGTATCGCTCAAGCTGCATTTTCTCTCTCTGATCAAGGTGAGCACTGCCTAGTTACGCCTGTGGATTAGGAAGAGGTCATTCCCGTTTACTTTCGCGGCAGTAGTTTGTTGCTGGTTGTTCGGCGGCTCTGGCTGGTTCTGCAGCTCTCTAAGCCGCTCTTCTCTTTCTCTGACCCAATGCTTGTGGTTGGCGATGCGCATTTCTGTCTCTCTGAAGAACTTCGCGATTTTTTCTGCATCCTTTTGAGCTTGTTCTAACTGCTGGTCCTGGTTTTAAGGCTCTGGTCAAAAAAAAGTTGAAGTCGATGCCTGGAACCCTCTACAAGCATCTACCAAGTTACTTGGATGAGTTTGTGTAATTCAGGGACTTTACAGGTGACAGAACATTCTCCCAGCTGCTGGAAGACAACTCTGAGCAGTTTCCTCTACAATAATGGATCATTTATTGAAAAAAAGCGGCTCCTTCAGGAGCCGCTAAACACCAGAAAAAAAAAGACCAAAAAAGAATTCAAACTTACAGCCCTATTAATCTGACTAATGACCAGTTTGCTTAAGATGTGTATAAAATTTGTGGAACTGAGTTGAGAAAAAAAACTCAAACAAAAGGGCGCCATATGAGAATGGTTACTTTGCAAAGTTTATCGCCAACGAAAGCATACTAATTCAGCAACAAAATCAAACTAAATCTAAATGAGTGAGAGTTTTGTAGAAAAAGAGAAGTACAGTAGCTTGATCCTCCTTCAAAAGCTTTAATTAGATGTGAAAGAAGTCACCCACGCACCGCCAACACCCACACACAACCGACACTTCTCACTGATTGAAACGGAAACTAGTTAGAAATGCATCGGGTGACAGTTGGTCGACAGTCGGTAGACATTTGACCGACAGTAGGTAGACAAAGGGTCCAAAATATACTTTTCCAATCCCGCATCCTACGGCTACCTTCTATTCCATCCCGCTGCAATAAACATTTTCATCCCCATCCCACCTAGTTTAACCCAAGTTGCTCTATATCACTGTCCTTTCTAAACTGATGGACAAATTATAGCCTTTACGAGTCCTCTCATTATGGAGAAAGGCAAAGAGTCCTTAAGGCATATTTACCTGGCTTAAGGTTGTTCCTTGATTTGTTTATAGCTGCATCGACAAAACCTGGATCGCACTGGATCGGATCACGGATCAGATCACGGATTGGATTACGGATTGGATTACGGATTGGATCACAGATCAGGTCAAGAATCAGATCACCGATCGCATCATGTTAAAAAAAATTTAGAAATTTTGCGTGACAAGCCAAAATAAAGTCTGCCTGACACGACTGGCCGTTTTTTATGCTAGAGACGTTAAAGTTGTCTAAGACGTTAAAGTCGTCTCGAGACGACTTTAACGTCTTAGACAACTTTAACGTCTCTAGCATAAAAACGGCCACTAAGCGCAGGCCCCACTGCAAGTTCTTTTGGTCCAAAAATCTCACAGATTGAAAAAGAAAGAGAGTTCTGAAAAATAAAACAATTAAATCCTTTACAAAATAATAAAGAGTTTGATAAAAGGAGATGTGAAGAAATTAAAAATATTTCAACGAAAATAAGAGATGTTGGGTATCAAATCAAAATAGAGCCTACGTGATATAATAGAGTACAGGCCCAATTGAAAGTTTGTTTTGTCCTAAAACTCCATGTAGTCACTTTCACGGCTGTGTCGAGGAGTGTTTTGTAGTGCTGCCATGGACAAAGGCAAGCGGAAGGTACATATCAATCAGGAGGGAGGCATTGGGATTTTTGGTTTTGCAGTTTTGACTACTTTTAGATCTGTTTTTTGGTTTTGCTGTTCATTTCAGTTTGCGGACTTTACGCAGTTTAGCATTTGGTTTTCGGTTTTCATCAGAAATAAAAATGGGTTTTCGCTTCATTATGCGCTTTGTTTTGGCTTGTTGCGCAAAATTTCTAATTTCAATTGACATAATCCGATCCTTGTCTGATCTGTGATTCAATCCGTGGATGGCGCACAGATTGGTATCTTCGAACAGACCCAACAAAAAAGGTTCGCTAGCCGCTTGGAGCGCTAATACAGCGGAACTTTGGAATCGCAGATCGGTTTTGAAATCCTGCGCGATCTCCCGCACAAGCCGTTGAAAGGGCAACTTGCGGATAAGTAACTCCGTAGACTTCTGATAACGACGGATTTCCCGAAGTGCAACTGTGCCTGGTCTGTAACGGTGAGGTTTCTTCACGCCCGTAGCGAGAGCACTCTTGCGGGCCGCCCTAGTGGCTAACTGTTTACGAGGACCTTTTCCACCTGTTGATTTCCGAGCGGTTTGCTTGGTACGAGCCATAGCTAACAAGATTGGACGCTTCAGTCTCGTAATCTTCCGAAATTTTACGCTTTTCTCGCGATCCGTGATCCGATCCGTGATCTGGTATGTGGTCCGTTCCGTGATCCGATCCGGTCCGATCCAGATTTTGTCGACGCTGTATTTATAGTCTTTATAATTGAGACACAAAAACTCCACCTACAGGAGGACCAACAGAAAAGTTATCCTGTTACATATATAAAACATTCTTCAGCCAATCGCACAACAGCTGAGGTCATATCTCAAAGATGCAACAGACTTCATCAAGTCTCTAAAAAAAAAAAAGCTTCCGAAAGAAGTGATCGATACTCATTTCAATGGGCATTTTGAGCTTATCCACAAATATATCCCCCTCACCTCCATTCCAAAGTGTTTACTAGAGAAAGCCATCGCACCAAATGGCATTAGCTATTGTAAATATCCTTATGGCTAAAATAAAAATCCTACATAAAGGCGCTAACAAACAGTTCGTTTGGAAACGCTACATCGACGACATAATCTCTCTATTGCACACCTGCAAAGATGTTGTTCATTAAACAAGCAAATGAACACCACCCAACAAAAAATTTACGGCTGAAATATCTGTTTCAGAAGCTACTTTTTAAGACACCATTATCTATAAGGATAAAAGATTCAACAGGGAGTCAGTTCTCGACATCAGAATCCATTTCAAACCAACAGAGGCATTCCAGTACACGTATTACACAACATGTCATCCACCAGGAGCAAAGAAAGGCTTAAAAAAAAAAGATTTTAAAGAAACATTAGACAATTCAAAACACATCTGGCAGAGAGAGGCTACCCAAATTTTTTGTTGACAGCCCACTCTCGGAAGCGAAATTTGAAGGACGTAAACAGGTCTTCCTCCAACAGGGAAAAGAAAATAATAGAATCTTGCCCTTTGTAACGCAATACTACCGAACAGTTCCAAACCCCAAAGAAATCCTTATGAGCAAAATAAGTGGCATTTAATACGGCAACAACTATCACTAAGAGAAATCTTCAAAGAACCGCCCATAATGTCATACAGAAAGGGGCATACTCAAAGACATACTCGTAAGAGCAAAATTATGACAAAGGGGAGAAAACTGGAAATACTTTGGAGCCAAGTAAACATATGTAACAAATACAGAGAAGACTGGACATAATACGGAGTTATTTAGACCTATCAACTCCAATTTTCATGGGTGCATTTATTAAGCCTGTTTCTAAATCAAATAAATACTTTTTAATGTCCCTGAGGTCGTATGACTATCAACTTTAGCTGAGTCACGATCCTGACAACACCCATCCTATCTCCTATCTTGCCTTCAGAATAGAGCATATCCTCGTCTCGCCTTCCTATTTTCATCTTGCATCCCGGAATAAAAAATGTCTCGTATTCTACGTCCTGTCTCAATTTAAAGACTCGTCCTGCATCCAGCCAAACCTATGTTGGACCCCATAGTCGAGTAGAGACCATTCCTCTTCATAAAGTTGCCAATTTGAAGAAATACAACTCCTTCAGTTACTTTTGATACAGTTGAAAGATTACTTACAGGCTAGTAATTCTGTAACACAAGTTCAAGATTCGTTTTCTTAAGGATTAGCAAACATAGAGCTTCTTCCCTTGGTCAAGGAAAATAACCACTTTCAAGTAAAGGAGTGATTATAGTAATAGTTATAACTGGTAGAATGACATCAATACATTTAACAA